AATAAAGGAAGAACGCCCCCCACAAAAGAGCATGCATTCAGCATAGCGTCCGTGGCCACAAAATGGACATATAGTGTCCGGATGAGGAGGGTGCCAATATATTGTCACATCACTACAAACTAAAAGAGCGCACTTTGCGGAACAAAGAATAAAAGCAAAAAACGGGCACAGTGATGCCAATATAATATATATATATATATATATATATATATATATATATATATTATATTTATTTTTTTATTTTTTGCGGGGTGCCGCCGACCCCTGACGGGTAGGTGCTGACCAGCCAATCGGTCGGCGGGTCGGCAGCCGACCAGTCAAGGGCCGCCGACCGTCGGGGGGTGCAACATTGAGATTAAGGATAAAAGAGACCATATCGGTTAGCACGAGATAGAAACTAAGGGCAAGAGGAGACAGTTTGTGAAGGTATCGGGTGCTAGTCTTTAGAGGAAGAACAGGGATAGAATAGGTTTTATTTCACAATAAGTACAGAGTCAGAGCCTTAGGGTTTAGGGTTTTAGAAAGTCCGTCAGCATTAGACCTGCTATGCAAGTCCAGCACTCAACGCAAAAGCTGACAGCCATGGAGCAGAGAGGAACAAGTCGGATCAGGCAGCAATGGACAGGCAATAGCATGCAGATAGAATTCTTAGCAGACACGGTAGAGCCCAACTCCAAAACAAAAGGCAGATTGGCTAACTTAGGCCGGGGTGAGGGGTGGTACATCCTCCCAAATGGAAGTAATCAATGCTGTCCATTCGGGCCTCTCAACCATAATGGGGAGGAGTGTGTGTGAGTAACTGCTGTATCTCCATTTGACTTGCCGGTGGAATAGGATCCGGACTGATGCTCCCCAGGATGGAACGGAGCCAGAACCGTAAGGTTCTGTTTTTCCGGGGAAAAAAAAAAAAGTTGTTGCAACCTGACTGCAGCGGTGCAGACATCTGGCAGTTGAGTTCAAGATCACTGTTCTGTTCTGTGTACAGTTGTCGTCAGATCCAAGAGGCCAGCACTGATCAGTAGTTGGGAACTTGCCAATTTGAAAAGCGAAAACATATTAAAAGTTAAAACAAATTTCAACGTGATCCCAAAAAAAAAAAAAAAAAAAAAAAAAACCCACAACAACGTGATGATCGTCATCCCAACATGCACCACCTCCTGCTGCAGTCTGTTCATCAGGGAGTAATTTCCATGGTGCTCCAATAAACTTTACACTGTTTACAGCCATCTTCACCCAACTGCAACGCACCGCCATCATGCCTGTGTCAGACCGAAAAGATAGCTCGTATACAGTCATGATCAGGGTGTGCTGCATTGGGGGGAGAAGTGTAGCTGCCCAATTCTCTGGATATCATCCCCTCTTCCTGTACTTACTCTAGAACATTGCTGGCAAGTCCAAGAGTTGACCCACAGCGAAAAGGTATGTCAAAACTTATGACTGAAAGGTTAAAACTTACTAAATTGACTCAAAACTGCACATCCCTTTTGCTGAAATTTGGAACCTCTGTATCTCTATGAAGTATAGCCTGAGTCTCATGTGACGGGCAAAAACAAGAACCCCAACCATAGGACAGCACACAAGTCGTGGAACGCGAAAGTGGCTGGGGCAGGGGACTTTTCTCCTTTTTGCCGTTCAGATGCCTGTGCCACTTGGGGGGGGCGCTGACAAGAGGGTCGAGCACCTCAGGATAAGTGTGGTTTTTACTTTCTCCGGTCGGCCCCGAAAGTGACGCAAGCCGGAAGTGCTTTGGGCGCCTCGGGGTGAGTGTGGTTTTTAATTTCTCACCTGACGGGCCGCAATGAGACCCCCAACCACGGGACAGCACACCAGTTGGGGAACGTGACGGTGGCTGGGGTGGGGAACTTTCTCCATTTTGCTGTTCAGATGCCTGCGCCATCTGGGGGGGGGGGAACTGACGGGAGGGTCGAGCCCCTCGGGGTAGGTGTGGTTTTCACTTTCTCCGGTGGCACACTGAGAGTGAGGTGGCACGAGGAGTAGAAGGCACTTGCCGTGCTTTTTCCCCTGTTTAGTTTGGTGATGATTATGATGGCCAGAGGCTTCTTTTTCCCTTATATTGCTCTTACCTGGGATTCGTCGGGCCATTGGAATGAGCGATGAACAGCCCCATTAACCTTGTTCACCATGCTGACCGTGTTGGGTGCCACCTTCATTCTCTCATTAAAAAGATAAATCTCCTCATATATGCTCAATACGTAATGCAAGACCACCTTTCCCCCTCTTTGCTCCAGCTGCTGAATCTTCTCCGACCTGGCCCATAAAACTCAAAAGGAAAACAACTCTGCAAATTACCACAAAGTTACCAAACTCTTAAACATTAAAAAAAAAAAAAAAGCCAATTACAAAATTGTCACCTCGCCGGGAAGCAAAATAGCAAAACAGTCGTAAGTAAGGGTTAATCAGTTAGGCGAGGGAGGAGGAGTGGAGCGGGACGACCATAGATGTACCATATTAGGGAAGTAGGGTAGAGTATGTAGGTGAGGAAGGGTGCGGGAATAGGGTCAGAAGGTGGAGGGGGGAGGGAAGGGAGGATCAGGGGAAAAGGTCTAAAAAGGATAAAAAAAAGGATAACAATGTGCGAGGCTACGCCCGCTTAGCCCCTACGGAGCCCTGTCTGCAACAAGGTCGGCCGCCCTAAGTGAAGGCAGGCACGACAGGCCCTTCGGGCCTCATTCTTCAGGGTACCCCGCAACGGGGAAATTCAGACAGWTGCGTTGCGCCAGTTGGTTRAATGAATCCASGCCCTGGGCCGCCTGTGTAAATGAATGTGAAGCAGGCCCTGGGCTGGATACGGGTACCGGGCCAAACACAGGCCGAAAGCAG